GGAGGAGCATTCCCCTGCTTTCACCCATGTGGCCCACAGCCATGTGGACTCCACACAATGGACTGATGGACTAAATCTAGCCCGGTGCCTGATGCCGCATTGGACTCAGCTTCACCATCGAAAGAAAACTCTGGACATGCCCTGCTTTGCTGAACCCACAGCTAGCTGTCCCTTTTTTAGGACTGGGTTAAGGGAACTGGGACTTTGGAACCCAAAGGATATAACTCCATGCAAATAAAATCTTTTACCACATCTGATTCTCCCATGAGGGCCTCTGGAAATGCTTATTCCAGCAGCACCCCAAGAGCCCCACTCTCACTAGTGGCGGGGAAATTTGGCCCACTGATTTCTCTGGTAACAATTTGATGTATGTATATGTTATGAAATGAGGTTAGTTAACACATATTAGGTTGGTTAACACATCCATCACCTAAACGTAGTTCCCTTTTTTGTGTGTGAGAACTTTTGAGATTTACTCTCAGCAACTCTTTCTTTTTTTTATATTTATATTTTTTCTTTATTGATTTCAGAGAGAGGAAGGGAGAGGGAGAGAGATAGAAACATCAATGAGAGAGAACATTGATTGGCTGCCTCCTGCATGCCCCTTCATTGGGGATCAGGCCCACAACCTGGGTATGTGCCCCGACCGGGAATCAAACCGGCGATCTCTTGGTGCATGGGTTGACGCTCAACCACTGAGCCTCACCCACCGGGCTACTCTCAGCAACTCTTACATTTACAATATGGTATTGTTGACTATAGTCACCATGTTGTACATTAGAACCCCATAACTTACTCAAAACTAGAAGGTTGTACACACTTTAACTACCTTCACTCAGTCCTCACCCCCTCCTTGCAGTGATCAATCTGCCCTCTCTTTCTGAGTTTGTTTTTTGAGGTTCCACATCTAAGTAAGTTCATAAAATATTAGTCTTTCTCTGCATGATTTGTTTCACGTAACGCCCTCTAGGTACATCCATGCTGTCACAAATGGCATAATTTTCTTTGCTTTGTTATAGCTGAATATAATATATACCACATTTTCTTTAACCATGCATCCTCAGTGGACACTTAGGTTGTTTCTATGTTTTGGCTATTGTAAATAGTTCTGCAATGAATACGGACTGTAGCTATCTCTCCTATTTCTTCGAGATAGTGATTTCATTTTTTTTTTTTTTTTTTGGATATATACCCACAAGTGAGATTACTGGATCATATGGTAGCTTTGTTCTTAATTTTTGAGGAAACTTCATACTGTTTTCCATAGTGGTTGCATTAATTTACACTCCCACCAACAGTGTTCAGTGTGCCCCTTTCTCCACATCCTCACCAGCGCTTCTTATCTCATCTTTTTTATGACCATCGTTCTAACAGGTGAAAGGTAATATATCATTGTGGTTTTGTTTTGCATTTCCCTAATGATTAGTAATGTTGAATACTTTTTATTGTACCTGTTGATCATTTTTATGTCTTCTTTGGGCAAATGTATTTCAGGTTCTTCACCCATTTGTAAACCAGATTATTTGATTTTTTCATTTTGCAGTTGAATTGTGTAAGTTCCTTACATATTTTGGATATTAACCCCTTATCAAGTATATGGTTTGCAAATATTTTCTTCCATTCTGTAACTTGCCTTTTATTTTGCCGATCTGTACTGGTCTTGAAATCTGAGTAGGAGTTTTATTCAGGCACAAACTGAAGGAGGGACATACTTCAGGTGTTCTGTTTTGATTATAGATCATTAATCACAAGTCACATGGGATACTTCTAGCATGATAAAATTAAGTGAAACAAGTAATATATTAGTTTTGGCACACTATTTGTTACTAATGTTAACATCAGGTGAGTCACATATATTACAAATTATTTTCTTCTGCAGTAGCTTATGGGTTCTTAAAATCTTTAAGGGCTTTAAAAGTTTTCCAAAACCTGCCCTGGCCAGTTTGGGTCAGCGGTTAGAGCGTCAACCTATGGTCCAGAGAGACTGGGTCCGGTTCCTGCTAAGGGCATGTACCTCGGTTGCAGTTTGTCCCCATCCCTGGTTGGTTGTGTGGGTGGCAGCCACTCAATGTGTCCCTTTCACATTGATGTTTTTCTCTCTCTTTCCCACCTTCCCACTCTATCTGAACAAAAAATGGAAAAATGTCCTCGGGTGAGGAAAAAAAAAAAGTTTTTCAAAACCTTTTTGTTAGATATATATATATATATAGTTTAATAAACAGTCTCCCTGCTATACAGTATAAACATAGCTTATATTTTTAAAAATTATTTCAACTCTAATATCAAATCTCTCTGACTCATCTGTTAATGACATTCCAGTCAGATCCCAGAGCTTTCTAGTCATATTCAGTTATTTAAAATTCAGCCTAGTTTGACTCATTTCAGCACACTAGAGTGCCCCTCCCCATGTTAGCCAGTGTCCTAAGGGACTCGAAATGGGAAGGAAAGCTCTGATCTTTCACTCTTTGTTGGACATCTTGCGAGATAAGTATGGTAGGATCTTTTTCTGTACAACTCTAATGAAATATAGACTCTGGACTCTACTGTTTGTTTACAGGAAGTCAGTGAACCCATTAACATTTTTATTACCTGCCATTATAAACCAAGGCTTTCAGTTATATGCATTTCACGTGGACTCAGAATCAACATTTCACAATTTGAAGCACGTGGTTGACTTTTTATAACTTTACAACAGTTTATTCAAGAAATACTTATTGATGACTGTGTCAGACATTGTACTATATAGGTCAACCACAGCAAAAGAAAATACATTGATTTCATTTGGATATATTATTAAAAGGTATAAACATGGTCCTAGAGAGTCCAAATATATATTTTCTTTTTATCAGTGCAAAATCTAAGTTGCTTCTAAGTCCAGTGTATTTCAAGGTTTCTATTATGATTGATAGTTTAGGTTGATTTAAACTGACCAACACTATTAACAATAGAAAATGTATATTGAGTAGGTTGCCAATGTGTTGTGATTTACATGATTTATTTAATCTAGGTAATAATCTGATAAACTATTTTTTAAATATGTTTTTATTGATTTTTTTATAGAGAGAGGAAGGGAGAGAGAGAGAGAAACATCAATGTGAGAGAGAAACATCAATCAGCTGCCTCCTGCATGCTCCCTACTGGGGATCAAGCTTGAAACCCAGGCATGTGCCCCAACCTGAACCAACCTGGACCTCTCAGTCCATGGGACGATGCTCAGTACACGGAGCCTAACCAGCTGGGCTGATAAGCTATTTTTTAATATTCACATTTTACAATGAGAAAACTAGTGATTTTACCAACTTGTTAAGTAAGTAAACCTTGAGCTCTGATTCAAAAGCCAGCTTAGATAGTCCAGCTGTCTGGAGCCATATGTTTTAGGTATCACTTCTTATTAGCTTTGCAAGTTATTTTTCCTTTCTGTGTGTCAGTTTCCTCATCTGTAAAATGGAAATAACCACTGTACCTTTCTTATACATTTTGTGAGATTAATTATCTTAAAATAAATAAAGCACTTAGAATAGTCTGGCACAGAGTACATATTATTAAAAACCTTAACTATTACTAGTCTATAACCCCTTATCAGAAAATGATAAAATTTACATGTTTTGGAATTCAAATTTTTTCAGATTGTAGAGAGGTAAATGAGAACATATACAAAATTTTAGTTTACATTTTCATCAGAGTCTGGAAACCTCTCCGTAAGCAAAGAAATAAATACATCTAATTTAAACATGAAATCACACAAAGTGGGACAAGTGAGAATCATAAGTAGTTTGATGTCAGTTCAGGTCTGAATTTTTTTAAAATTTATTTTTATTGTTGACACTGTTACAGATGCTGCCCCCCCCCTTGCCTCCTCCCCCACCCCCCTTCCCTCTGCCACTACTACACTGTTGTCTGTGTCCATGGGTTATGCATATATGTTCTTTGGCTAATCCCTTTACCGTCTTTCATCCAGTCCCCTCTCCCCACTCCCCTCTGACAGCTGTCAGACTGTTTCATGTATCTATGCCTCTGCTTCTATTTTGTTTGTTCAGGTTTGAATTTGTTACCCAATTAGTTTGTGGCAAATATCAAAAAGAACTTTTGGTTTTTAAAGATTTTGGGACCTTAGAATTTTGGTAAAGGGCCTATTATTAATGATTAACTTGTATTACCTATCCCATAATGGTCAGAATCATCTTTACTTTGACTCTAAATGCTATAGGGAAAACATAGATCAAGAGGTCAAATTTCAGTACATTTTCATCAATTATAAGGAAAATTAGGAGGTCCCAATAAATTATTTGCGGATTCTCCAATTTCCAGTATTCCCCTAATTGGGAAATAGCTGCTACAACACTTGGAGACTAAGTCTTAAGGTAGTCATTTTGAGGTCCCTTCAGGGATACTCTGAAACAGCCATTCAGCCAGGCTAGCGCTAGGCCTCAAAACTATTTCCTTTCGTTTCCTTTCCTCTTCATTCCAGACTGTAACCTGTTTTTCCTGGCTCTGAGTAATTCTCAGTATGTCTTACCTATCTTATTTGTTCCATATACCATGATCTCAGTATACACCTCATGGAAATTTAGTTGCCAACCCAACAATGGGATCCCCAGTACACGGCAGCCCCAAGATCAACACGACCCATTTCATTCAGCTTGCCCAGATTTCAGGCGAAATTCAGAGGCTGATCCAGGGGTTATTTCAAGATTGTCCCTGCTTCCCAGAAATACCCCTCCCTACCTCAAACCCAGACCCCAAGACCCTCCTGGGCAGATGAGCTAAAACTTCAATGCCTTTGGGCTCTTGGCAGGGCTGAGGCTCATTCCAGAGGAAGAGCCCCGCGTTTTTCAGATGAGCTGCACGCAAAGCATAGTGTCAGACAACAGCCGAAGAACCAAGCCCGCGTCAGCTGGCCCATTGTGCGGAGCCCTGGAAAGTCGGCCTCAGCCCCTAACGCACGCAGAGGCCCCGCCCCGCGCGTGACGCAAGCGTCAGGCCAGTCCCGGCATGCTCCGCGACCACCGGCGGTCGAACGCAGGCGAAAGGAATTTTTCCCGTGATCAGCCTCGGTTCAGTTCAGTTGCTGTCCAGACTCGGTCGGCGGGACTGCCGCCTGCAGCCATTCTCCTACTGCCCACCCGTCAGTCTGAGCGCCCCCAGCCCTCCCGCGAGGGCTCCCCGGGACGGAAGGATCCACCAGTCTGTCGGCGCCCGCCGTTCTCGTGGTCGCCGTCGCGGTCGTCGTTGTGGTAGTGTCTGCCGTCGCCTGGGCCATGGCCAATTATATCCACGTCCCGTCCGGCTCCCCGGAGGTCCCGAAGCTGGACGTCACGGTTCAGGATCAGGAGGAGCAGCGCTGCCGGGAAGGGGCCCTGAGCCTCCTGCAGCACCTGCGGCCGCACTGGGACCCTCAGGAGGTGACCCTGCAGGTAACGCCCACACCTCAGCCCTCGGCCGTTCGCTGCCCCGACGCGGCCCTGGGGTTTTCACAATACCTTCCATTCCCAGATAACTGGGGAGGACCGACGGGCACGTCTTCTCCCCCAGCCTTTTGAGAAGTGACCCTGTATTTCCTCGTCGCGCCGAGGAAGGTCACTCCCCCTTCTGCACAATTGCCTGTTGAAACAGTCCTGAGGGCATATTTTCTCTGTCTAGAAGCGGCCACGTAAGTGACGATCCCATTCCACACGGGGGGATTCCTGTTGATATCGCCCCTCCCCCCTCTTCCTCGTCCATTCTAAATGCAAAATGAACCTTTTCCACCCCCTCGCCAAGCCGCCCGAGTAACCTTCCCTTCTCCTTCCGCAAATAATGCAGTAATTAATCCTCTTTGATCTTTTCCTTTTCCTCCCCTCCCCCGGCGGTTTACTCCCATTGATACCTCACCCTGCGTTTTACCTTCATAAATCCTCGGATTGGCTAATCCAGAACCAGGTCATGCATTGCTAGATTGGGTTCTTAGGTAGCACTATACACATTGTTTTATTTGGATCGATATCAATTAATTTTTTCAGTCGTCTTAGTGAAATGAACAATATTTGATGTTAGAATGGCCAGTGGCTTGTGAATATTTGTTTTTCTTGAGCCCCTGTATTCAGCGATAGACAAACACACTGAAAGAACAAATTCTTAATCTAGGCATTTTCTAGTAACTTCTAATAAGTTATGATTTAGTACACATGAAATTTATTTTGAATACTAATTGGTTTTTAACTTTTGGAGTTTTAGGAACTGTATACGAAAAGGAACCTCTTTTTCCCTTACGAAAACAAAGTAATTTTAAAGACTGGGATATTCGAGGTTTGTTTCAAATCTGAGCAATAACTTTAAGACCATCAGTTGAAGTAGCCAAATCATCTGCCTTGTTTTGTTGACTAATTTATTCAAAGTGTTATTGATTTAACAGTACATATCTCAGATTCTTTGCTAAAGTAGCCACCTATACAAAGATGAATAAAACATGAACACAGTGCCCTAGGTCCCAGAACACTTCCTGACATTCAAACTTTCTTCAGTGTTAGTTTCAGTTCTTATTACCTAGAAGAGTTTTGAGCAAATTAAAAGGACCCATATGTTTGGTAAAAACAATTGTTAGACAAAAATTTTGAAATTTTGAGGAAGTGTTTATTAGCCAACTATGGTAGGACAGTGTGAATCCAAATGATTTTTATGTATAGTTTTAAAAAATTAATGATATATTTTCTTTAATTAAGGAAAATTAAATTAATTGAAACCTGGACTTCTTTAGTTCATTGTTCACTAACTTATTTGTGGTTTACTGTATATTTTTATATTAAAATTATTTGAATTGTCAGTTATAAATTAAACGTATTAATTAAAATCATGCTACTTCCTGGTAAACTCTGGTGCTGGCAAACGAGTTACTTTTTAAGCAGAGATTTTACAGATTGAAGTTTTGAAGACTGCAGTTTCTGTTTGTAAAACAGTAATAATAGCCACCTGGAGCTACTATGTGCCAGGTTTGCATTCGGTGATCTGTATTTTTTATCATTTAATCCCCTAAACAACCATTTAGGTAGGCTCGCTCCTTCCTTCCTTCCTTCCTTCCTTCCTTCCTTCCTTCCTTCCTTCCTTCCTTCCTTCCTTCCTTCCTTCCTTCCTCTCTCTCTCTCTCTCTCAAATTTTCTTTTAAAAATATTAGAGGGGAAGGAAGAAGTGGGGCAGAGAGACAGACAGACAGACAGAAATCTAAGTTTGAGAGAAAAATAGCTTGGTTGCCTCCCATATGCACCCTGAGCAGCAGGAACCTCAAAGCTGGGTATATGCCCTGACTGGGAATTGAATCCTCGACCTTTTGGTGTAAGGGAGAATACTCCAACCAACTAAGCCACAGAGGCCAGGACTAGCTTCCTTCCTCTCTCCCTGCCTCTTTCCCTCCTTCTCTCCCTCCTTTCCTTCCTTTCTAACTCCCTCTTTCCTCCCTTCCTCTCTCCCCTCCTTCCTTCCTCCTTCCCCCTTTCCCTTCCCCCTTCCCTTTCTTCCTTCTTTCCTCCCTTTTCTTTCTCCCTCTTTCCTTCCCCCCTTACCTCCCTCAGAGAAAAGCCAGACTATAGGTAAAAAAAAAAAAAAGGACAAAAACGTGGTCACATCAAACTGTTTTTGGTTGTTGGCAGGTACTTGGGATTGATCCTTGTCTTCTATGTAGCAACTTCTGACTTTAAGACCTTTGGACTCAAAACCCAAACCTCTAATATACTTATTTGTAAGTGAAGGTAAATACCACCTTGTTTTGTTCTAGGGATGATGATTAGAAATACAGTTCCTCCATGTGCAAGCAAAGCTTTAGATCTAGAAGCTGGGACAAACAAGCTGAGATGGTTATTCATCTATCAATTTAGATTTGACTTCCACGTTGTAGATTATTACAAACTCTACTTTTATGATGCGTCAGGATTTTCTTAGTAAATCTCATTGGGAATATATATTTTTAAATTTACTTTTATTTTCTTTGAAGTAGAAAATAAAAATTATACATCACATTTCAGAAGTGGAAATATGTATCATGAACTCAACAGATTAAAACAGTATCAGTAATATATATATATAGTCCATTTCTTGTCAAATATTTTTTCTAAAATTTTTATGTGATTTAAAATATGCTTTAAATGTACCTTAGAAGCTTACTCTAGTAATACACATACTTTTTATAACCAGGCAATTACTCCTGCCAGCTGAACTATTCATAACAAATCGGAAAATCCAGGAGCAAGCAAAAAAGACTTTGATACAATCAAAGAGATAGAGGGCCTGGACTTTGCTCAAAACTTATGGACACATGAACAGTATATCTCATTTTAGATAGGGTTTTAACAAATTTAATTTTTTGGATTTTCTACTTGTACAAGATAAAATAATAAAGTATAAAAGGGGTGATAAGCTTTTTGGACTGTAATATCTAAAACAACAGTTTAAGTTGAAGTGCTTTCTGTTAAATAATATTTTACTGTTTATAAAGCACTTTCATATATATTCTCACTACAACAATCCTGTGAGGTAGATGTAGACTATTAAAATGTATTTTATAATTAATGAAATTGAACTTGCAGTTTGTAAATAGCAGATCTGGGATAAGAACCCATCTTCTGATTTATTGCTCTTTGATCAAGAAAAGTTTGTTTGTATATTATGATTAAGGCAGGGAAGCCATTTTTGTGTAAAATTAATTTCTTAAAAATAAAACTTTGGCCCATAAAAAGATTTTGCTTTAAGTTCTCCCGAACATAAATCTGCATTACTTTTTACACATGTGACATTTTAGAAAAGAGACGCACTTCAACTTTCCTTTTGTTGTGTAATAACTCCCTATCTTATATGAAGATGTGGAGTTTTGGTTTATCTTCATTTCTTTGGAAAGTCTTTGAAAAAGGAATATGGAATCAAGTGAGATCTTGTAGGCCTAACAAACTAATTCTCAGGCGGCTCTTAAAATTGTTTTCCTTCTAAAAACTGATGAATCAGTGTTTGTAATATTCTGGTCTGTTGTCTCTGGATCTTTCTCTGCAATGTTGGATAGTGTTTTTTCACTAACTTGTGAATTTTTTTTTTTCCCTATACCTTGGGACCTATATATAGTAGATGATGGGAAAGGCTTGATAGGATAGAAGGCATTAATTATTATGTGGCATTGTAAGCTAACATATTTATTCTTGTTACAGGGTTTCAATGAGATCAATTGCTATATGGTACCATGTATTAACTTAATTTTTCAATAAACAGTATATTATAGTGGTCAAGATTGTGGGGTTTAAACAGCTTGTTTTGATTCCAGGCTTTTTACTTGACTACTAGATGTGTTATCTTGGTCAAGTTACTTAATTTCCCTAGTGCTCAGTATTCTTAGCTGTAAAATGGATCCAAATGCTTCTACCTCAAAGGGTTGTTGTGAGAATGAAATAAATGCTATCTCATGATAATTTTTTTAAAAGTTCCCTAAAAATACATTTTATTTATTTTTATTTTATTTTATTTTCATGATAATTATTAACTGCTACTGAGCACCTACTATATGTTGGATGCCTGAATCAAAAAAAGAAACAGTAATCTGTTCTTTGAAATTTGCACTCTGACGTGCAATACAGATGGAAGAAAATAATTATGGGGTTTTTGGAGTGCACATTCAAATTTCATTCATGTGTAAACATTACACAGAAACACTTAAAAAGCGTGCTGTTCTGCTGTAGTATAAGTTTTTGAATGCATAGGTTTGAAACCTTTTTTTTTTTTTTTAATCCTCACCCAAGGTTATTTTTCTGTTTATCTTCAGATAGCGTGGAGGGAGGGGGAGAGAGCGAGTGAGCGAGAGAGAGAGAAATTGACATGAGAGGAACACATAGACTGGTTGCTTCCCACACGACCCTGACCAGGGCCAGGGACGAACTGCCACCAAGGTTCATGCCCTTGGCTGGAATTGAACCCATGACTCATTGATCCAAGAGCCAGTGCTCTAACCCTTGAGCCAAAGCAGCCAGGGCGAAACCTCTATTTTTTTCAAGTATACATACACTGTCTTTGAAACCAATGCTTGTGTTAGGTTGTGTAGCTACATAGTAGTTTCATATTCCCTTCTTCCTAACTATGCTGGAGGTAGTTACTGATACTCTATTAAAAATCTGTAACTCTTTTTATTTTAATACTGATATATATATATTTTTTAATTCTCACCCAAGGACATTTTTCCATTTTTTGTTCAGATAGAGTAGGAGGGAGAAAGAGGAAGAGAGAGAGAGAAATATCGACATGAAAGGGACACATTGAGTGGACACACAACCCAACCAGGGCCAGGGACAAAGTGCAACCGTGGTATATGCCCTTAGCAGGAACCGAACCCTGGTGTCTGTGGACCACAGGCTGATGCTCTAACCGCTGAGCCAAACTGGCCAGGGCAAATACTGAATTTGATATCTTTTTTATTTTAATGAGGAATCAAAATCTGAATAAATAGTTGTTCTATTAAATGGTCTCCTTTAGTGTGCTAATGTAATAATTAATATTCCTTCCCAATTTTATAAAGATGAGTTTGTTCCTTTATGTGATAGAAGTTTCTGAACAGTCTTAGATAAATTTAAGTACTATATTAAGGATGCCAGAAGGATATAATATTTCTAGAAAACTTGAGCCCTATAGAAACATATAAGGGATTATAGTTTTTATTTAACATAACTTTTAATATCAGTGTTTGGGTCCAGTTTTATGTTCTTTGTTCCTTCTCTCTTTGTGTTCAGTATTTTATAATAATAAGGTAGGACCTAAGGCTACTGATATATAATGTTTGTTAGGCTCCTGTTTGTGTGTGTGTGTGTGTGTTTAATATGGAACATTTCACAGATTTGCCTGTCATCCTTGGGCAGGGGTCATGCAAATCTTCTCTGTATCATTCTAGTAATAAATGTGCTGCTGAAGCAAGCACTCCTGTGTATTTTATTAAGATATGAATAAAAGGAGGAGCCACACGTGCTATTTCATTTTCAGATATTAAGTTGTGTACTTGGACTAAGCAAACCACTTTACTTCTCTTTGGGGCCTAAGTATAATGTGGTGGAAGAGGATGGTTTTTGAATTCTGATTCCAGTCATTTATAATCTTTGACACGTTTTAAAATCTCTACAAAATGGGATTACTATGAACTATGTAGAATTACAGAATTTTGCTACTATTACTTTACTACTAATACTAATTATGCTAGTAATACTACTTTACTAATAGACTATCCTGAGAATTAAATACATAAAATTATGCATAGTATGTTTTAGTATTACATGCCTCTATCTCCCATCTATAACTCTCCCCTTGCATCTCCCCCCACCATTTATAATGGGAAAACTGGATCTGAAAGAATTGTAAGCTCCTAAAATTCAGTAATTCTGACATGTATTTTTGTGTGCTAGTCATAATGCTGATTTCCAGCAGCATTGCTTTGTACAGTAACTGTAGCAGAGGGTAGGCATGGGAAAATGTAGGAGGTGAAGGCTTTATGGAGAAGGGTACCTGAGCTGAACTGGACAAGAAAAGTACTTTCACAAATTAGACAAAGTATTTTGAGCAGAAGGGAGTGTGAACAAGAAAGGAATTAAATTGATTTCTGAGAAAGGGAGTGGTTAGATATGAAAATTTTGTGCCTCATTAAGGAGGTGGTATTTTATTATGTAGGACATAATGGGAAGCTATTGAATGTTTTAAGTAGGTGAGTTATATCATGCATTTTTTAAAGTAGTGTCAGGCTATAATATAGGCAGCATAGGTTGGAGGAAATGTTTTGAATTGGAGAATAAGTGATCACTTAGGACATTGGTTTTGAAACTGGTGGTTAACATGCAGTATAGAATGCTAAATCAGTGTAGTGGATGGAAACCACTATATTTTAAATAGATAAATTAAAATGGGATGTGCAATAGATGAACAAAATGCAAGTTTTGGTGCATGGGTCTATCTATGCTCAGCCACTGAGCCATACCCGCTGGGTGAGCCTTGCAAGTTTTGTGAAGCTCGTTTTAGTTTCATGTAAAAGTATCTATGTACTGAATTAGATGACACATATATTCCTTTCTGTGTATTGTATTAAAAAATGTTTGAGCAGGAATTAATCTAGGAAACACTGTTATGTTAGTCTAGACAAGAGGTGCTGGGACTCATATTAGGACAGTGGCCTTGGAGATGGAAATAAGGGACAGATTTGACATTTCAGAAAATAAGTGTGCAGGACTTAATACTTGTAGGTGCGGGAAGAGGGAAAGCTTAAGGTTTTTGTTTTCTTTTGAAGTGAGACAGACAGGGAAGTAATAGAAGATCTATACTTAAGGAATTAGAAGTTATATATCTTATGATTTTTGTCTTATAAGGAATTATTTTACTCTTTGATATAACAAATGGGTTATAAATACATAAATTTCTATTACCTTTTGAAAATTTGTGAGATACAATAAACATTCAGAAAAATGTGTAAACATAAATTGTAGAATAAATACCTGTGTAACCCAAACCCAGGGAAAGAAATAAAATATTACCAGTAACCCAGAGTATCTCCATTTCCCTTCCTGGTCTTCTCTCTGTCCCTCTAGTGGTAATCACAATAGTAGGTTTCTTCTTTTTTTTAAAAAAAATTAAGTTAACAGAATATTTTGAAGTAGTCATTTTTTGGCAAGTCAGTACTCTGGGAAAATAGTATACTATGTACACAAATTTCCTTTTATAAGGGACTTGAAATTTCCTTTTACATGAGCATGAAATAATTTAGTTTTACTAAAAACATGTATTATAATAAAACTTTGAATAAAAATATTTCTATCTATATTTTATTTTAAAATTACCTATTTTTAAAATTACCTTCTACTTCTCCTGTATATATTTTACATACATGTAATCACACTATAGGTACAGTTTTGATTTCCTTTTTTTCCCCATATGGACTTTCATAACCATTTTTTTCTTATTTGTGTGATATTGACTATACTTTTTTTTTTTTAATCCTCACCCGAGGACATTTTTCGATATTTTGTTCAGATAGAGTGGGAGGGAGAGAGAGGAAGAGAGAGAGAGAGAGAGAGAGAGAGAAACATCGGCGTGAAAGGGATACATCGAGTGGCCGCCACCCGCACGACCTGACCAGGGCCGGGGACATACTGCAGCCGAAGTACATGCCCTTAGCGGGAACCGAACCCGGGTCTCTGTAGACCGCAGGCCAACCCTCTAACCACTGAGCCAAACCGGCCAGGGCTTGACTATACTTTTTTGATAGTTACAAACATAGTATTTGGGCCCTAGCTGGTTTGGCTCAGTGGTTAGAGCATCGGCCTGCGGTCGGGAGAGACCTGGATTTAGTTCCTGCTAAGGGCATGTACCTTGGTTGCAGTTTGTCCCCGTCCCTGGTTGGGTCGTGTGGGTGGCAGCCACTCGATGTGTCCCTTTCATGTTGATGTTTCTCTCTCTCTCTTACTCTCTTTCCCTCCCACTCTATCTGAACAACAACAACAAAAAATGGAAAAATGTCCTCGGGTTAGGATAAAAACAAACAAACAAACAAACAGTATTTGATTGTGTTAATTATTTAATTAACTTTATTATTTTTTTATCCTCACCTGAGGATATTTTTTGTATTTATCTTCAGGTAGAGAGAGGGAGAGAAAGGGAGAGAGAGAGAAACATCGACATGAGAGGGATGCATTGACTGGTGCCTCCTGCATGACCTGACCAGGGCCAGGGACTAACCTAATCTAGGTACGTGCCATTGGCTGGAATTAAACCCAGAACTCATTGGTCTGTGGGCTGACTCTCTACCACTGAACAAAACTGGCCAGGGCGACTTAATTGTTTTTAAATGAAATTTTTAAAAACTTCTGAAGAGTATAAAGAAGAAAATGAGAATGGCTGATATTCTATCTAAACCTGTTGACTTTGTTTAAAAAATATAAATCATATATGCCCTTAATAACATACTTAAAACACATACAAGGGTATAAGTGAAAAATGAAAAGTCTAACTGACTCAACTCCAAGTCATTCTTCTCACAGGTAATTTTGTGAATGAACAATTTCCTTTGAACTTCTAAAAAAAAATAGCAAATTATGGATTTACTAGAATGCATATCCAAGTATGTTTTTATATATCAATAAATACCACTGTATTTCTTTTGTATATATAATGAAGTTACTCTGTATCTTGCTTTTTTTTAAAAAATTTTTTTCCTTTGTTAATTTTAGAGAGAGAGGAAGGGAGAGGGAGAGAGACATTGGCCACCTCCTGAATGCCCCCCTCTGGGGATCAGGCCCACAACCTAGCCATGTGCCCTGACCGGGAATTGAATCGGCGACCTCTTGGTGCATGGGTTGACGCTCAACCACTGAGCCACACCTGCCCGGCTGTATCTTTTTAAAATAATATTATCTGACATCCTCCTATGTTAGTATATGTAATATGCCCTATATTTTTAAAGCAGCATTGAATTCTTTCTATTTTTTAGATATTAAAAATAGTATTGCAGTGAACCGCTTTTATATATATATTTTGGAAAATTTAAAAAAGTATATTCATAGAGTAAATTCTTATTAATGGAATTAAAAGGTTAAAAATCATGTATGTCCGTCAGGGTTGTATAGAGAAACAGTTTCTCCTGTATATGATTTATTTCAAGGAATTAGCTCATGTAGCTGTGGAGACTGTTAAATTTGAAATTTGTAGGGCAGGCTGGTAATCTAGAAACTATGATACAGGAGTTGATGCTATAGTCCGGAGGCAGAATTTCTTCAGGAAAACCTAAATGGTTTTTTTTTTTTGCAGTCCTTTAACTGAGAAGATGAAGCCCACTCCCATTATTGAAAATAATCTCCTTTACTTAAAGTCAACTGATTGTAGATGTTAATCACAGCTGTATCCAGATTAGTGTGTTTGATTGAATAACTGGGTACTACATCCTAGCCAAGTTGGCATATAAATTTGTCATATTTCTCACTTTGATATTGCCAAATTGTTGTGAAAGATGTATTAATTTTTTAAATATGTTTTTATTGATTTAGAGAGAGAGGAAAAGAAAGAGAGATAGAAACATTGATGTGGGAGAGAAACATCGATCGGCTGCCTCCTGCACACCCCCTACTGGGGATCGAGCCGAAACCCGGGCATGTGCCCTGACAGAATTGATCCAGGACCTCCCAGTCCATGGAACCATGCTCAATCCTCTGAGCCACACTGGCTGGCCAAAAGTTGTATTACTTTATAATCCTCAAAACAGTGTGATTCCAAATTTAAAATTGTTTGTCAGCTGGATACGTTGATGATAGTATTTTGTTATTACATTACATTTTTTATTTTGGAAGATAGTGAAATCTAGTAGTTTTTTTCATAAAACAGTTAATGGGTGTGCATTAATTTCCACCTTTTTAGGTTTCTTAGGTTTGTCTGGTAGTCATTATCTTAATATTCGAAACTTGCCTTTATTGTTTCATTGGTCTGAGGATGCTCATTCAGTTGAATTTAGTGGTTAATTGATCATTCTAGACCATAAACACATAACAAAATTGCTTCCTTTTAGGGCCCTTCAGTGGTTGGAGACCTGTAGAGATTGCATCCAATCTCTGATAATACTCCATTAAAAAACTTTTTATTTTTAATTCTTGCCCAAGGATATGTTTTCATTGATTTTTTTAGAGAGGGAGAAAGTAAGGGAGGGAGGGAGAGAGAGAGCCAGCCAGCCAGATAGACAGACAGACATCCATCGGTTGCCTCCCATATGCTCCCTGGGGATCAAACATGCAACCTAGGTATGTGCCCTGACCAGTAATCGAACGCAAAACCTTTTTGATATACGGACAACACTCCAACCAACTGGGCCACCTGGCCAGAGCTCCATTGAAAAACTTTTGCTTCAGCCCTATCAATGCCTGCTTTATTCATCCAATTTTTCAATAACCACTAAAA